ATGAGAACGTGGTGTGGCCGCCGGCTGTAGAGGGAGGGAGGGAGGGGAAACGGGGACGCACTGCAGCAGTGGGTGGCTGCTGGCCGGGAAGGGCGCCTGTTGCGCCGGCGGGCTGCGAGCCTCCCGCCCCGGCGGCCGGGCGATGCCCGCCGGAGCGCATCGCATCATCTGCCAGGTGCTGGGGGGCAAGCCAGCGCTGCTAGCAAAAGAGAGCAAGAGGAAGGGCTGGGATTTTGCCGGCGGTTTTTCGCTTCCTACGAGAGCGGAGAAACAGTTGCAGACTGACCTCTAATCGCTTTTTGGCAATCTGTGTGTTCCTCGATTCTGTCTCTCCATCTCCCCTTCCCGTAGGAAAGGGGTGACATCACCAGGACAGGATTTGATGACTTGGCTGGGTGGGGTGATGGCTCCAGCCCTGGCTGGGTACCTTTGTCCTGTAGCTGTGGTAAGGGGATAGTGGCTGTGCCTGTTGCTCGGGAAGGTGAACCCCTTGGCAGCGTAGGGTCGGGTTGTGTCCTCGGCATCACCGCGTTTACAAAGATTTTGGGGTTTTGTTTGATGGGTTTTTTGATTTTTTTTTTTATTTTTTTTTCCGTTTGAAATATGATTTTTTGAAACATTCAGTGAGCTCCGATTAATGAAGCAATGAGCTGGTGCTGTGGGCTGGAGGTTTTTTGCCAAGGTGTGGCTCTGTTTCCTGTTCTGCAGGGCAGTGAGTCTGTTATGTAAATTCCTTAGATAATCTTTAAGTAAAACCTCGCATTTTCTGGAAAATCGCAAAGAGTGCAGGAAGTCGAGCTGGATTTTGAACAGAAGCTTTTTTGCAGTTATTAAAGAAGACTGTCTTTAGCTGTTAGCATTTCTACCCTTTTCTCCGTCCTCCAACACACTGCAGGGAATTGTTTAATCATTGCATACATACCTTAAAACAAGCCCCCTACCTAATTACACATGAGATCTATGTATTTTGCTTAACATATAGAGCATATTTTCAACCCTATCCTTTTCCCATATGCAAGAGCTTAACGTTGTATAGCTGATTAATTCTCCATTGCATTTGTTGCTCTTCGCTGCAGTTAGATGGTTTTTATACCTAAAAAATAAAATTTTAGGACAAAGAAGGGTTTGCCTACCTTTTCTGACCTACAAAATTCTCTGTTCTATTTGTAAAACGGTCCAGTGAAATGTGTTTAAAACAAGTTAGTACATTGTATTCTTCATAGATCTGTGATTTGGCATGTAAAATCGTCCTTTTTCTTTTTTTTCTTTACTAGGAAAAGGTATATTTTTCCATAAGGAGCTAGATAGTTTGAGTCCAAACAGTGGAGCTTTTTGTGATGCTCTATCCATACATAAGGAGAGGTTTCTGGAAGGATGTGGTTATGACAGTTAAGCTCTAGAAAGCCCTTTTGATTGCCTACTGAGCTGCGTACCTTTGTATGCAGTAGTGGCTTCTTGATGTACAGAAGCTCATAAACAAGCATTTAAAATCTTGCCACTTAAAATTAGATATAAAACAACCTGCATGTCCAGATGAGGCGCTTTAAATTGCGTGGCTGAACGGAAAAATATGATGTGTGAAAACTGTCATTTTCTTTGTCAAAGGTGGCAAAAATCTCTGTAACATCGAGATGTAATTTGTAATATTGCAGCAGAGCCCCTTCTGTGGGGCTGGCTGGGGGCTGGAGGCTGCTGCGGTGAGATGGGGAGGGTTGGAGCAGTGGGCGGCACCTCAGCCCACGCGTGTGCGGTACCCCCACGCTGTGCTGGGGCTCTGCACTGCTGCGAATGGCATGTGCTGTGAAACCCCAAACATGACATTAGGGGTTTTGTGCCTCTCTCAATTGCAAGGAGCCTGCCCTGTGTCCTTCACTGGACCAAACTGGATTCATCAAGTTGCAGGATGGCATTTGGTTTTTTAACAGTTTCAACTCAAGTTAGCTTATATGCTAACATATGGAAACAGCTGCGTGGTGTAGGTGAGTGCAGTCTCCTCAGAGACAGAATTCCAGGGTTTGAAAGTGACTTCATGAAAGTAATGATAAATCACTTCTGAAATTTAAAGGAAGTGCCTCATTGCTTGACAGAGCTAGAGGTAAACAGTATTCTAAAATGTTCTATTCTTCGTGTAGGCTGATCAGCTGACTGAAGAACAGATTGCTGGTAAGTGTTTTGATGATAATTTCTTTTTTTTTTTGCTGGCTCTTGTGACTAAGAGAAAATACATTATCTCAAGCATAGTGGAAAAAAACATCTTTGACAATTTTAAATCTGTACTACCACTTTTGAAAAGCACTCACTTAAAGAAATCCAAAACTAAAAACAAACCAGACAAAAATATTCTGGAAGATTACTGGTCCATTGCCTCCTAATTTAGATTTCTTATTCCTTGGACTACAGATAATGATATTTTTTTTTTAGATGTTCAGACTTGAGCCAAGTTCTCCTCAATTTCTTGTAAACAGAAATAATTACTGGACTCAAATGAACTATTAGAGTCAAAAGCAGACCTAGGTACTCTTTAATAAAGTGAAGGTAAACTGCAAATGAAATGGCAACAAATAAACCTCAGATGGGTTTATTGCACATTGTTACAAGCCAATGTCTTTTAAATAAATCTTTTAATAGACTGCCTGTAATTCAGGCTGGTAGGGAGAGGGGGCATTATTTGACCTTCTGGAGACCAGTCCTCCATTTGTGTCTGACACTAATTCTTATTGTCTGCTGACTTAAAAATAAGTGGTAAATGACAATGCTTTTGTTCCTGTAAGTCTTTTAATTGTAAAGGGAACCCAGTGGCTCCTTTCACTTATTTCAGACAGCTGCTGTTCTGTGGAACAACTGTGCCTCAGGCAAGATGCAGATGCATGGAAATGAATTACAGGGTTGTAATGCAGATAAATAGCCACATGAAATAAGTTTGCATTTACTGTGAAAATTATGTGTTGGTATTGTAAGTATTTTTTTATTTGCATTTGAGAGTGTTAATTCTCTTAATACAGGGACAGTTAGATAAAAAGAAAACATGTTTCTTAGAATTGTACCAAGCTTTATCAATAGAGTGCATTTTTAGTCTGCAGTTTTATCATGCTGGTGATGTCTCTTAAACACTGGAACTGTTTCTGCCTCTAGAATTCAAGGAAGCCTTTTCCCTATTTGACAAAGATGGTGATGGTACTATCACAACAAAAGAACTGGGAACTGTCATGAGGTCACTGGGTCAAAATCCAACAGAAGCAGAATTGCAGGATATGATCAATGAGGTAGATGCTGATGGTAAGTATTGGGAAGGTGCTGTGATCATCTTTAATATGTATGACCTCCATACCTGGGGTTAAACTGCATAGGGAAGAACACGACATAGAGCTCTTGAAGCAGTTTCAAAATTCTGGATAGACTCTAAACTCAGAAGGATGTCAAAGATGCTAGCAGTATTTGTGAGACTAAAAACAGGCAATGGCCAGAGACAAAGTTATGCTATTTGTCTTTAATATTTTATGGGTCACAGGTTTCCTATTGCTATCTGACTTGCCCTGACCTGCCATTAACCTGTCTTTCCATCCAGCTTTTCTGTATGTGTTTTGTCAGCCCATGCTGGTTTTAATAGCTTTACCAGTGTCTGTGGTTTTAGCTAAGGCGAAAAAATGTGTTAGGACTGGAATAGTGTTTTCAGTGGAAATTTAGTACTATAGACTAAAGACTATATGATCTATTTAATGCATTAAATCCCTAATAGATAGTGAGGGGCTATTGGAGGCAAAGGCAGAAAACCCTTCCCATATCAAGGCTAACAGAATTACTTTAAATGAACACCAGAAAGCCCATATTGAAACACAAATTGTGTTTCTGAACTCCACATAGGCTAACAGTTTTAAAAAGAGAGAATATTTCCCCTTCTCAGGGATGTCAAGCCTTTAGTCTTGTTTGTTGGTTGTGATAGTGATTTCTCTCTAACCTTCTTTGTAAAAGAAGAGTGAAAGTATATTGGCAAGAGTATAAATTACTGGATTATCAGGCCATATTAATTAAACTACTTTCTTAAAAAAGGTGTAAGTTGACCTTAATTGCTAAGTCTACAGAAACTAAAAAGCTTCAGTGTCTGGAGCGGTATGCAGAGTTTGTGTATAATAGCTTCTTTAGGCTGCAGACCAAATACTGCTGTGGTGGATTTAAAACAGAGGGAGACAGAGGACTTCAGATAAATATGCCTGCCCAACTGTTTAAATTTGGGTTACAGCAGAATGCTTTGCTATTCTTCTGCATGTTCATTGAGTTTTTTCCAAAACTGAATATCAGACCTGTGTTCATATGTTACTGGTATGTAAAGCTGGCCATGATAATAAATAGCTGTGTTTGTCTCAGGCTAGAATCTCTGGGATGCAAGGATTTTTTTAAATTTCATTTATTGCACAATGAATTTGTATGCTTCTTTAAATCAATGAGTAGGTCTTAGTTGCACAATGAAGTGTTTAATGTAGTTTTGTGAACTACTTAATGTGCCTTTTTGGCATATAGAGCTGGATCCTGACTATACAAATCTAGTTTCTTCACCATACCACTTTTTTCCTAGCTTTGAGCAGCCTGAAATTTAAATCTTTGATTTGATGGAAAAGCATAATCTTAGGGGCGATGCCTGGATGTCAGCAGAAATTTTCAGTTTTGCAATAAAATACCTGTAAGAATGCCTACAGCTAAGCTTATCAGTAATAACAAATAATGTCAGCTTTTTTCATGTCACTGGGATTTGCAGATCATCGTTGCCCCTTAGAATGGTTTGTTGCTTTTGTGGTGTGCAGCCTTGGTTGATAAGGAAGTTGAGTTTTAGAAAGAAAAAAAATATTTATGAACAGTTTAGTGAAATGTGATGTTCCCAAATATTTGAATAACCTGGGATTGTAATGGCAGCTTAAGATGTGTTCTTCCTGGAAGACACAACAATTGAAAGATGAAGAAATTTGTGGGAGTTATTTGAAGTAAAGTTTTGTTACTGGTTGACCTTGAAGCATCAGACTGACATTTTACTTGTGGCTTTGGTGGCAAATGGTGTGGCTTGTCCTTGAAAGAAGGCAGCAGTTGATTTTGTGCTGAAACAGAGTGGCTGTTGTAATAGCAAAAAAGGCAGTGGCAACAGTTTAAAGAGAAGAATGAATTTGTCTATAAGGACAGTTAACAGAGCGTCTTGTCCCTGGCTAAATCAAGTGCCAGGGTTTTTTTTGTTGGCTTGCTTGCTAATGAAGAAAAGCATGGAAGTTTAATTTTTGGAAATTTCTTTTTATTAAGGCAATGGCACTATCGACTTCCCTGAATTCTTAACCATGATGGCCAGAAAAATGAAGGACACAGACAGCGAGGAAGAAATCCGTGAGGCATTCCGAGTCTTTGACAAGGTAATACTGAAAGTACAGCTGCTCTTCAAAAGCAGAAATTATGTCTGTATTTTCTTTAGTGTTTTCTCTCTTCTTGAATGAGAGTCCTCTAGTAGAAGCAGAGGAATTGGAAACATAGCAGAGATTGTTCTGAATATAGAACCAGGATTGTTGTAGCCTGGTTCTACTTGCTTTATACAGTAAGGTCTAAGCTTTAGACTCATCCATGAGGAAAACTTTCTGGCCTTCTGTTAGAAACAGAGATTAGCAGACTTAATGCATCGCGGGGGAGGGGAGCAGGGCTTTTTTGAGACGTGTGGGTAGAGGAGGGGGATTTTTCTCTACCTTTGACTTTGGAGGGAATAGGGAAACATTTGCATGAATGCACAAGGTTTTATACTACCCTATGGAAGCTTTTGAAGTCAAGGTGATGTCATCAGTATATGGAGGGACACAAAGTATTACATGTTCTCTTTTCAAAATGTGAACTTTGAGGTCGCTTTCATGAAAACTTAAGAGCTCAGCTCCCTTGACCTTGTTTAAGAATACTTGGGCATACATCATTTTCTAGAACAGGGGTTCCTCTCTTTGGGTTGTTTAAACATTCAGTTATCATACAAGGATTGTGTTGAGTAGTGGCAGGTGCAGCTGTAAAGCTGATGCGCATACATGTGTGGAAGATGATTTTACTACTTCTTATAGAAAAAAAAGTGCCAGTCTTAGTACTTGGTGAAAATGTGGGGTATTTCTGCAGACTGGATTAGGGTGTAAAGCCACTGAGGTAGGTTATCTGGCCACTGGTGATGGCCATATGCTGCTCTAAGATAGCGTATTCTTCCTGTGTATGGAATTTCTGAAGTGGCTCAGAGTGAGCTTTAGGTTTGGACATTGCAAATGGGACACTGGCTTAGAAGTGTCAATTTCTCTTCTCTTTTTAATTTTGCCATAAAGCTTCTCAAAATTCCTTAAGAGTAGAATTTAAATGCTTTCTTTGATTTGCTTTATATCATCCAAGAAGCCTAACATAGCCAGCTGCAGTCTGGTTATAGAGGCAGTGTTAACACAGAAGAGAAAGTTGACTTCATTCTTGCTGGTGGGGAAGTGGGTCTCTTTTTGGTCTTGCTTAGGCAGCAGAGACTAAACAAAAACTTTGTTAGTTTTGTTTCTTGTTTATTTTTGAAAACTCTTCAAAAGCATTAAAAATGTCTTATCACAACTACAAGTCAGGCATGCAGTTGTTATTACAGCACAATAATTGTATGGAAGGATATGGTGTCATGCATGCCTGAGAAGGCAGTGGGACTAATACAGCAGCAGTTTCTACAGTGTGCCAAGTCTGCACATCTGTCCCAAGTGCCATAAGGCTGCTTCAGAAGCAATTACTGGAAACCTGGATATAGTTTCCAAGTTAATCAATGTCAGGATTGTTGTTCATGGTCTTATGCAACTCTTTTCTCATAGGATGGCAATGGCTATATCAGTGCAGCAGAACTACGCCATGTTATGACAAACTTAGGAGAAAAGCTAACAGATGAAGAAGTAGATGAAATGATCAGAGAAGCAGACATTGATGGGGATGGGCAAGTCAACTATGAAGGTAAAAAGATGCTTGTCTTGACTCAAAACCATTATTCAGACTGAGGAAAGCATGTTGCGTTGGACATTAATTTTTAATGCCTGAGACACAGGTTTATTTGCTTGTCCTCTTCTGTGGACAATACCTTAGATGCAGTGAAAGGTGCTTTTATTATGCCAACTGTATTTTAGACACTTTTGACTTGAAGTACGCTGGAGACAGTAAAATCACAGTGACTTTTTATCTTTTCAGAATTCGTACAGATGATGACTGCAAAGTGAAGAAACCTCCTTTACACCTTTTTTCCTCTAGAAGAATCAAATTGAATCTTTTACTTACCTCTTGCAAAAAAAATGTTCATTTATTCATTCTGTTTCTGTATAGCAAAACTGAATGTCAAATTACCTTCTGTCCACAAACTGCATGTAATGGTTGGTGGTCCTGTCCCTAAAAGATAAAGTTAAACATCAGTTTTACAATATAAATAATTGTACTACCTTGAAAATAAAAAAAAAAAAAAGGAAGCACTTCGTGAACTTGAAAGTTCCATTTGCTAATGACTATTACACTGTTTGGGCTGGCCAGTTTTTCATGCATGCAGCTTGACAATTGAGCACAGTCAGACATGTGTATTAAAAGGAAAAAAAAACCTAAAGGATCCACTCTCTTGTTCAACAGTGGATTCTAGTTCAATTTGTAGTATAAATTGTCATAGCTGGTTTACTTTAAAATTGGTTTATACCTCAGGATGGTATGCAGCAAAATGGTTGAAGGATGCAAAACTTAAAGAAAATGCCCTAAAGGTTGAATGGTTCTCCTGTACGTAGCAGTGTGCTCCAAAAATAGAATGATCTTAACTATGGATGGCATGTCTGTGTTAAAATACTGGTTTAACATTGTCTGCATTGCACTATAGTGAAACGGGTGTCAGGCTGTTACCGTTCACAAAATTTTTAAAAGAAACCTTCACCAAGGGAGCATCTTTGGACTCTCATATTTTTAAAACCTTCTGTACCATGACTTGGAGCTGGCGGAGTAGCCTGTGGACTTCAGCACAACTATCAACATTGCTGTTCAAGATATTACAATTTATGTCCATTCCAAGTTGTAAATGCTAGTCTTTTTTTTCCAATAAAAGACCATTAACTTAAAGGTGGTGTTAAATGCTTTGTAAAGTTAAAATATATATATATAATTGAGATAATAAACCAAAAAAGCAGTAGGAAGGAAGTGTTTCTATGAATGACTTGCTGCTAAATTATAATGCACATGTATGCAATAAGTTATCCCCTATCTTTTCAAGATGGCAAGAACTGACCTCCTGTAACCCAAGACCTTTGCTATAAATAAATGAACTTGTGCTTGCCTTTCATATTACGACAATGTTAATTTAGTTGGTCTCAAAGTCGTGTAATGCTGACTCGTCAACTATCAGCACAGAAGTAACACCTCATTTCACTACAGTGGAGAGCTCTGAGCATGCATGTCAATACTGGGGAAACATGTATAGGTTGCTTATGTTTTTTTTTTGACAGGTTATAAAAATTAGTTGGAGAATTTAAACAGCATGGACTTCATAGATGTCTGTGATTCTCAAACATGCCAAAAATGCATTTATCTACCCACAGAAAGAAAACAAAAGGACATTTTACAATATGTATTAAAAAAACCAAATTAAGCCTTTTTGGAAACTGGGGCTATTATGTCTTGACTTCTCAAACACTTGCATGAATTTTGTGGGGTGGAGAAGAGGACTAGGGTTAATTTAAAAACGATCTTGTTACTTCTGCTTTGCATGCACTAGCAGTGCTTAGTCATTCCAGTTCTCTGAATAAGTGTTCTCTGATCCTTCAGCTTCCCCATGAATGAGTGGCAAAGCAGCCGTGTGCACTCTTTGAAAGAAGAATGCTTCTTCTCTTTCTTTTTTTCTAATTTTTTTTTTTTTTTAAGCAGAGCCTCCATGTGGAAGGCTTTTATGCTTGGGAGGGAGGGACTACAGCATAATTACTGACTTAAGTTTTTGTTTCCAAATGTAATGGGTTGCAAACCGTAATTGCTTGACTGCATTTGGTTTTGGAGAGTATTGGTACCGTCTCTAGGAAGAGATGGCAAGTCTCCATTCATCCTGTCTAACTGAGGTGCGTGTGTTAAGAACTTGGTTTGCTCAGTGAGGGGTCAAGAGGCACCTCCAGAAGGCAATTGAGACTACTTGCCTTCAGTGATTTTTATTTTTTTTGCCCCTGGGGGGTGGGGGGGAGTTCTGGGTGACAAGGGACCCAGACACCTTAACCAAGTGCCTAAAAGTTAGATGGGCTGAATGTAGGCAATCGCTTAGGTATCTATTTGTTGCAAAGGCTTATTACCATGGCTGTGAATGCTGTCCTAGCAAACTGGCCTCAATGATGGGAATGTCTGACTACCATTTGAAAGTACAGTCTTGTATAGCAGCTGCCAGCTGCTGCTTTAGCAGTGCTTGAGAATGGCTGCACTGATTCTGTAGACCAGCTTTTAAAGAGAACGTACTCAAGAGACAGGCAAGGTAGGAGTAATGGTTACAGCTCTGAACTAATTCTGCCTGGGTGTGCAGAGATCTTGTCTAGTAGGTAAATGCTTCTTACCATCTATCTGTCGTTCACTCATGGTTGGTAGGGTAGTTCACCTAAGAACAGCTGCTTTTAGCTTACTCAGTGTGCTCTGTGCTTGCTAGCAGAGACCTCATCCCGCAAGAGGTTCTTGGCTTGATTAGAAATTGTCTGGCAGTGTGCAGTGTTGGTATGCCCTGTAACTGAATCTGCCTGGAGGTATCTAATTATTAACTGACTTCAGTACCACATCAACCTCGAGTAAATGTATCCTCTGTACAGGACTTAAGCTCTGTTCCCTTCTGCATAGTGAATAACTAGAAAAATGAAATGGTGTCACCAAGGTATTTTTTAATTTTTTTTCAATTTTTTTTTCCTATGAGTGTGTGTGTGTGGCTTTGGCTTTTTCCAAATGTGAAAGTGTGGGCTGGATACACTTGGTGCATGGCTTAGAAACATGGGACTGGAAAGAACTTCCTGGGTCATCAGATCCAGTCCCCTGCTATTGCAGGCAACCGTGTCATATAATCCTTTTAATAAACTTATCAAGCTTAAACACCTGCTTGTAAGTGGCTTGTTTTCATGGAAGTTCTGTAACTCATGTTGCTCTCAACTGATGCAAATAATATATGAAATATGAAGTTAATCAAAAGGTCCTCCAGCTTAGCTTTAGGTTTATCATTACATTTATTTAACTGACTTTCTTGAACCTGTTACTATTTGCACAACACTCAGGAAAGTGTTGAGTCTTTACCCCCTCTTGCTATGAATAAGAGTTGGTGTGCTTGCTTATTTTTTTTAATGGAAAAGATGGATGTCTGGCTTGTTGAAACCTGTTAGATATGTTAATTGTCAAGGCAAGAAAAATTAAGTTACTTGTATTTGATACATAAATTTAAGGCTAGATTATACATAACCATTTTTAAAACACATCAACTTGCAGTGTAGTTTTATATTTAATACTGAAATTGTACTGCTAAAGTTTAAACTGCTGTTAATCATATTCCTCTTCTGATCATAATGAAAAAATAAAGGGTAAGAAAATGCTTAACATAGATTATTCATTATCATGCTTATTTTATTAATAATTCAGGCATCGAAACATCTCCAGGTATGGGGTTTTTGTTCTGTTTGCCGGGGTGGGCTGGAGTGAGGGGTGGGGAGGGTTGCTGACGAAGAAAATTCTTAACCCCCAACCATTTGTCACACTTGCACAGCTTCAGAAGCACAGACATTATAAAAAACTTCAAGGACCCTATACCTTACTGATGCCTTAGATGCACGTGAGGGTGTGGGGCTGATCTGTGCACAGTGGCCAGTGCTGTGGCTGCCAGTCCCTGTGTCCTGGGCCCTGGATTGCAGCATGTGTGATGTGAATGCAGATTCTTGGTCCCAGATGACAACATCCTAGACTAAAACCACAGTCTTGGGGTTTAGAAATATCAGAGTTAATACAGCTTGCTTTTCCCCTGCCATGAAACTAACTGCAACACTTGTTTTGCTGCAATCCCGTTAGGGTTTGGGCTCTTTTTATTCCATAGTTTTGGTTTGGGTTTGGTTGGTTTGTTTGTTCATGGGGGG